ATTTTAAAAAATTTGATATATTCAAATGATAAAAATAAAAGTTGTGTACTTAATTGAGAAAAAAAATCTAAAGTTGTTGTACTTAAAATGTAATTATCCAGTTAATTTTCTCATGAAAAACTAGCAACCAATTATCAGTATGAAATTATCAAAGAATTGTGATGGCTATAAAAAGGTTCCTCTATTTTGTGAAATGCTTCCTTTATTCCTATATATTTTTCTTTTTTGATTGAGTACAATAATATAAGCATACAAAGAGAAAACCTAAGAAAGCTAATAAAGGAAATACAATTGCTACACTTAATATTATAGTTGACCCTAGAATGAAGAAATTTGGAGACAAACTACTCCTATAATCCCGGACCTTAATAATAGTTCATGCTAACACTCCCCTCGAGTTGATGCATACATGCCTCGAACGCCTCACTTTTCATGTGAGTTGTAGAATTTTTTGCTAGAGACAACTTTAGTGAGTATATCTACTAGTTGATTTTCAAATTTAAAAAATGGAAACTTGATTGTTTTATCTTCAAGATTTTATTTGATAAAATACGTATCTACTTCAACGTATTTGGTACGATCGTGCTAGACTCGGATTATGAGAGATATCGATGGCTGCCTTGTTATCATATAATAGGTTTATTTCATTGCTAGGAGAAAAACCAATCTCGCTTAGCAACCTTTTTAACTAAAGAAGTTCATAATGACCCTTGGCCATTCCTCCGAACTCTACTTCAAGCACTAGATAATGCCACTCGCTTCTTGCTTCTTATTGTTTCATATAACAAGTTGCATCCTACAAGTGTAAAGTAGCCGAAGTAGACTTTCTTTCCGAAAAATCCCCGCCCAATCTGCATCCATATAGCCTTCATCATGCTCGGTGATTATTTTTAGAGAACATAAAACCTTTTCTAGGAAAGGACTTCAAATATCGAAGAATTTGAATTACTATATCCATATGATAGTCACTAAGGCAATGCATAAATTGACTTACTACACTTATAGCATAAATAATATCTAGACATGTATGTGATAAATAAATACATTTTCCAACCAATCTTTTGTCACCTTTTTTTATCGGTTAGTACGTGATCCGAGAACCGTCCTAGTTTATGATTATGAATAATTGGAGTATCACTCGGCTTAAAATCCAACAATCCCAATTTTGACAACAAATCTAGCACATATTTTCTTTGAGAAAGAAATATGCCTTGACTTGATCTTGCTATCTCTATTCCAAAAAATACTTCAATCATCCAAGGTTCTTCATCTCAAATTCTATTATTAATTGCTTTTAAAGTCTAAAGATCTTTTCCCAGTCATCTCCTATAAGGATCATGTCATCCATATAAATTATTAGTGTCGTTACCTTTCCAAATTTGTGTTTTAGCAATAAGGTGAGTTGCTATGTTGGAAGCCATACTTCTTCATAGCTTGGCTGAATCTCCCAAACCATATCCGTGGTGACTGTTTTAGTCCATACAAAACCCGTTTTAACTTACATATAACCTTAGCTTCTAAAGATACCATATATCCCGGTAGGATATCCATGTAGACCTTCTCCTCAAGGTCACCATGAAGGAAGGCATTCTTCACATCAAATTGATGCAAGTGGCCAATCCAAATTTACTACAAGACATAACAACACTCGGACAATATTTAGTTTTTCCACTAGTGAGAAAGTCTCTTGATAGTCTATACCATATGTTTATGTATAACTATTTTTCATAAGCCTTATTTTATATCTATCAATAGACCCATTCGCCTTATGTTTAATAGAAAAAACCCATTTACAACCTAATATCTTCTTTCCTTTCGATGGTGAGACAAAGATCCATGTTTTATTCTTCTGCAAGGACTCCATTTCTTAATGTATAGCTTTAACCCACCTCCGATCCTTAAGGGCTTCTAGGGGTGTTCGTTCGATAATTCGATTCGGTTTCGAACTTTTTTTACTTGTTTTGGGTTAATCGAATTGTCTAAAAAATAACCAAAACCGAACCTAATTATTATTCAGTTTTTCGGTTCGGTTTTGAAATATACCAATTTTTTTATTCGATAATTCGGTTTTCACCTTTAATTAATACCCAATATCATATGTTGATTCGATCGATAACTTAATTAAAATTGCATCGATTTCATGATCTCAACATTTATTCAAAGATCAACTTTTTTTAATGATAAGCCATAATAACACATAGACCCCATCCAAATTTCAAATAGATTACAACGCTACACTATTCTCTACACTTTAATAATGAAAAAGCAAGAATGTCAAACGACAATTCAATTTCAAATATGCAACAAAATAAAAAGTTAAAAACAATAATTCAAGTATTCAACATTCCCAAATTACCAAGTAACATAAGTAATTTATAAAAGTAAAAGCAACAAACTAACAACAAGAAAGCAACAATAAGAAGCCAACAATACAAAACTAAGTCACTAATAACTTGCCAAGTAAAATAATTCAAAAAACTCCAATAAGTCACAACTCACAACCACAAATAGACAAGTTCAAGGCTTCAAGTAAAAGGTTCACTAAATGACAAATTCTACAAAGAAAAGAAAAAAAAATGTCAATTCTATAAATATAAAGGCATTTACAAACATACATGGACACACACAAAGATAATTCATTAGAAATTTACCCATGTCACTCAAAAGATCAAACCACCATCCATTCATCATATATCTATCATAGGTGCATCCGTTGATAGTTTTAATAAATCTGAAAAAAAAATCAACACTTTAAGTCTTTAATATTAATTTGGAAGGAAAAAAGACAAATAAAAATATAAGAATTGAAAAACTTACCGGCTTCAAGTTTCTTAACATCTTACAAATCTTTTTCAGTAGTAATTAGCATCAAATTTCGAAGCCAATCTTGAGTACATATAAGAGCTTGCACAATGCTAGGAGTTAAAGAACTCTTAAAGGCATCGAGAACTCTTCCTCCAGTGCTAAATGCCGATTCCGAAGGAACAAGTAGATATTGGAACAACCAACACATTACGAGCCATCTTTGAAAGGATAGAAAACCGAAGAGAATTATTTTTCCACCACTTCAAAATATTAAAATTTTCATCTCCAATTTCGACAGATTCACGAAGATACTTATCCAAATCTGATCTTTTATCTCCATCTTCACTTTCATTGAATTTTTAAAATCGTGACATCCTCGCAAGTGTCTTTTTTTTTCTTTATGGCATGATTGGTGTCCATTCCATCACTTACAATTGAAACTTCGTAATCCCATTACTTTGACCACTAAGACCTTGATTTGGTGATAAATTACAATATGAAGCATACAAGGCATATGTACATTCTTTCACATCATTTGTCATCTTTTCTCCAAGGCAATCACCATGCAATTCGTTTAATGTAAATGCAACATAAGTAAGTTTATGTGTTGGATCAAGCACGGCTCCAATATGAATCAACTTATTCATTTTCTTCATATCCCCCCAATACTTATCAAAATTTTCTCTCATTTTACTAGCCATTGAACAAGTATCATCATCGGCACACTTTTGCCATTCTCTCAAATCAGCTTCAAGTATATAAATTTTATCAAAATAATTATTAGAAGTGATATATGAATGACCCGAAATAGACAAAGTAAGGTTATAGAAATTTTTCAATATTGTCACCATTTTCCTACAAGTCCTCCAATCTCCGACACTAGGTGGCCCAAATGCCCCATCACCAAGATCCACATTAAGTTTAATACTATATAAATGATCAATTTGCTCATATCTCTTAAATGCTCTCTCAAACTTTTGAGTCGAATCTAACATCACATAAGTTGAATTCTATCTAGTTGAAACATCTAGATGTAATAAACTTTTAGAATCAATCTTTTTCAATCTCTATGCATTCCTTAAATTTTCTCAACCTAGCGGGAGATTGTCTAATATACCTCACGAGTTGCTCGAACACGAAGGATTAAAGGATTTGCATTTTTTAACCCATCGAAACAACAAGATTCAAAATATGAGCCATACACCTCATATAAAGTAATTCCCCATCTAAGATGCTATTACCCCAATTATTCAAAACATCTCTTAAATATCTAATCGCCACATCATTTGAACTTGCATTGTCTACAATAATAGTGAAAACTTTTTCAATTCCTCAATCAACCAAACACTTTTTAATAGCACTACCCAAATCAATACCCTTATGACTATCAACCGGACAAAAATTTAAAATCTTTTTATGCAACTTCCAATCATTGTCAATAAAATGAGATGTTAGACACATATAATTAATTCTTTGAATAGATGTCCATGTGTCCGTAGTAAGACAAACTCTTTGATAATTATTTTTCAAAAATTGGTTCAACTTTAATTTCTCATACATATAAAGTTGATAGCAATCTCATGAAATGGTAACCCATAATGGAATTTTAAACCTAGGTTATGCAATTGACATAAACCACTTAAACCCCACATTCTCGATAAATTTGAAAGGAAGTTCATCCACAATAATCATGTAAGCTAAAGCATTTCTAATGCAAGTTTGATCAAACTTCCATATGCTAAGAGTGCTTCTCCCATTTGAACACTTGAATTAGATTGAAGGTTCAATTCCGATTGGATAAGATCAAGCCTATGTGGGTGTTTTTGACATATGGCCATATGAGATTTAAGTGCAGTAGTACCATTTCTAGTAGGATGAGCAGTAAGTACCTTGTCACGAGTAATTACATCTCCCTTTGATGTCTTTATTTTCATCTTCAAACTTTATGAAATGGTCCCATGCAAGTGACCTTGGCCTCATTGCTTTTCTCTTCATCTTTGTGCTCAATTGTGTGTTTGATGAAGAGCCAACGATAATTATATCCGTTGTTGGACTTGGTTTTGGATGAGTTAACTCGCAAGTTCAAGCATTTGAGGATCATAACATCTACACAAATTCAAGAATATATTTGATTAGAAATGATTATTAAATACAAGTTTATATTATTAAAAATTAAAAATTTAAAAGTTAAAACAATGGGTAGTGTCCACCGTCAATCGGCTGACTACGAGCCAGTAGGCCTATCGGCTCGTGCCCGTAGGCCGGTGGCCACCCTACCGTCTAATCCCAATTCCCAAATGAAAAAAAATTAAAAGTCTTACTCATGAAAACCTAAAAGCAAATACTATATAGTCAATTACTAACTTCTCATATAGTCATATTAGGTTTCGAATGAAAAAGAGACAGAATCATAGAAACTTCAACAATAAAAGAAGTTACAAGACCCGAAGTATTAAACCCATCAACAACCCAATGGTTCCATTTTAATTACACAAATTTATAAATGATTCAGGAAAAAAATGAAATTAATCAAAAGTCTAGCATTTAACCACAAAAAAAATTGACCTTTTGAGTTTTCATTGGCTGGAACTGGAAGCACCGAAGCAATGAAGGCGTGAAGTTGAAGCACCGATTGTGATTTGTGAAATTTTGAAAGAGAAGGATTAAAGTTTAAACTTGGAAGGAAGCGAGCAAGTCGTAAGCAGTAAGTAAGAACTCGAGAGTCGTGAAGGAGTAAGGACTTAGCCACTTAGGGAGACGGAAGGGAGTTAGGGTTTTAGTCTTTTGATGTTTTGTAACTTTTGTAAGTTACAAAATTTAACTTTGCTTAACATTCGGTTTCCGATGGAAACCGAATGTGTTTTTAAAAAACCGAACCGAACCGAAATAATTTCGATTTTTTGATTTGGTTTTTTATTATATTTAAAAAAAAATGAACCGAAATTGTTAATTCGCTTCGATTCGGTTTGGTATTTCAATTTTAATCGAATAGTGAAAACCCCTAAGGGCTTCTTGTATTTTGTTAGGGACTTGACATGAAGATAACGTATGTACAAAAGCTTTGAGGGGCCTTGATAAATTTTGAGTGGATACATAATTAGCAATTGGGTACCTTGATCTTCTTTCCTCAAAATTTGAAGAGTATCTATTTAAGTGGCTTACCATGGTTTTATCTCGAAAGGTAAAATATAGCCAACAAAGGTATCCAAGTTATCTATATAAGGAGAATATGCATTAGGAGTGCTTACTTCGAAATATTCTCAAGAGAGAGGCTTCAAGTACTAGCGAGTGGGGGGATTTATTTTCGGATTCGGATGGCACGGGTTCAACTCTTGAGGAATACATATCGATATCAACATCACCCTCACAATATCTATGAGTGGCATCTTTAGATTGTGCCGACTCTAGCCTTTCTTTAAATTATGCTAATTAATTCTTGCCATTCGCAGGCCATCCAATTCGTTCTTCATCTTGTTTCTCCCTTTGAGAGGTGAATTGGTTACTAATGATGCAAAAAAGTTGTTTGTCTCGGAAAATGTAACATCCATAGTTACATAAGTATGCTTGGTAATAGGATCATAACAACGATAGCCTTTCCGATGTAAGCCATTCCCTAAAAAGATACAACGAATGACACAAGGTATTTATTAGGCACATATACCTTGTAATGAAACATGATGAGAGAACACGTGTAATGGAGTTTGAAAGTTTAAAACTTTTAAAGGTATTTGGTTTAGTAAATATACTCGCTATGGTGACAACATCATCCCAGTGCTTATTAGGCACATATACCCCAATTAATATGCTCACTCGTCTCTAAGATGTGTCGATTCTTTCTTTCCGTAACACCATTTTGTTATGGTGTTTGAGAGCATGAAGTTTCATATAAAAGACCATGACTTTGGGAGTAAGTTTGAAATTGGTGATTGGCATATTCTTCACCATTATCAAAATGAAGAATCCGAATCTTTATTGAAAATTAGGCTCGGATCATGAAATGAAAATATTTGAACACATTAAATACATTGGCTTTATGTTTTAGTTGGTACAATGAGGTCATTCGAGTGTAGCCATCTACAAATAGAACAAACCAATGAATAGAGAAGAAATAATGATTGGGAGGGTCCCCATACATCTAAATGTATTAAAGCAAAAGAAATATCTATTTATCCAAGCTTCTTGGAAAATGAACTCTATGACTCTTTGTAGGAGTGCAAGTAGCACATTTGAAGTCTAGATTTTGTAATTTTAAAAACAAATCTACAAACAAATGCCTCATATAATTGAATGATGGATGCCCTAAACGATGATGTCATAGCCAAATATGTCTTTCCTTAACACTAGTTGTGTGTTACATGTTGTTTGCTCTAACTCGGACTAAAGTCATCCAAGTAGCACAATCCCCCTCTTAGTACCATGCTAATGATTTCCTTCGTGAGAATATCATGAAAAAGATAGAAAGTAGGGTACATGAGTGTTAAACAATTTAGTTATGTGGTAACCTAGCTTACAAACATTAATGTATTTGAGAGGGATAAAACTAATAGGGTATGGGATAAGGAAAGAAAGTGTGATAAATTCACTATGCTAGCCCTCGTAATCGGATATATGACAACATTGGCATTAGCAATATTTTTTTACCTTGGTAAAGTGACATTTGAAAAATCATTGAAATCATATGTCATATGGTCGATTGCACCTAAGTCGATTATCCAATCACTATCCGCATTTTGTTAGAGCAAAGTAATGCGTTACCATAATTACCTTGATTCTCCGGACTTGTTGAGCCATATGAAGATTTTACTTATGAAGTGAGAGAAAATTCAGGTTCGGCGGTTGTTAGAGCCGATTTACTCGAGCCTCCATGAGAAGTAGTAGCTTCACGGTGTTTTTGTCCCTTAAGTTCATACCACCAGTCTAGATACCCATGTAACTTAAAGCAAGTTTCACGGGTACATTTCGCATTTCCACAATGAGTATATCATCATTCTTTTAATTGACCATTATCCTTAGAGGTTATATTTAATCTTCCTTAATCTATGGGGGAAACCTTATTTTAAAGAATGAGTGTTGATGGCCTAGCTTGACTCCCTTAAAAGCCATAACAACTCCAATTATGGTCTCTATGCTTGTTATCATTATCGTGTGTCCGGTATCCTCTCATTGGACTAAGCATAAGCCTCGCTCAATAGTAGGAAATGGTTTCATCCGTAGCACATCACTTCGGATATTTTCTAGTCGGTCATCCAAATCGTCAAGGAAAATGTATACTCTATCCTCTTATATGATAGAGTTATATTTTTGTATGTCGATAGCATATTCCATCGGATTAGGATGAGGAAAATCAATTTCTCTCCATAATCCTTGGAGATCATTGTAGTATTTTTCAATAGATCCTCCAACTTGCCTCATTCTAGTCACTCCTTTTTGTAGGTCATATAATTAGGATGTGTCAATCCCATTAAAATAAGTAGTGGTAATAGATTCCTATACTAGTTTTGCAGTTGGAAAGCAAATAAAATTGTTGATCAAGGATGGGTCCATTGAGTTGATCGGCTATCTCTTCACAGTCGCATTCTCATATCTCCATTTTCGGTATGTTGGGTCTATCTCGTGGGGTTGTGAAATATCTCCTTAAATATATCTTAGTTTGTCTTTGCTTGAGATAAACATCTCTACAACTCGGGACCATAAGGCATAGTTGGTGCCGTCCAACTTGATGCCAATCCGTGCAACGGAAGAATCATGGCACGGGTGTGATTCATAATGATTTTTGGTCAAAGCTTTTGTCATCCTTGTTGCCAAGTTCTCTAAGATGGAATTTGTGTGGTTGTCGTTATGTTACACCATGTCGGGAGGTTCCCTCATGGTTTCTAATCTATTCTATGTCTTTTTTTTGGTAAGGATGTGGTTATAGCAAGGGTTTTAAGAACCGTTGCTCGATACCACTTAAAAAGGCTCCTCTATTGTGTAAAAAGCTTCCTTTGTTTTTGTATATTTTTCTCTTTTTTGTTGAGTATAGTAATATATGCATATAAAGAGAAAACCTAAGAGAGCTAATGAAGAAAATACAATCTCTACACTTAATATTACAGTTGATCCTAGAATGAAGGGATTTGTAGACAAACTACTCCTATAATCCTAGTCCCTTATAATAGCTCACGCAAACAATGACATCAATCTAAAATGCTTTAAATATTTTTATGGTTTTTTCTAATGTGGTTAACAAACTTATGAATCCATAACAATCAGATTTCAGTGACTATAAATGGATGACTTAAATTAATGTGGATCAATTATGTGATGTCGTAACATATATAGATAGTGTAACTTGAGCTCGCACAAAGAAATATGAAATAAACTTGGCTCATGTAATAACTTAGGAGGGTGTAGCCTGTGTACTCCTGGTTACTATGTTTTACATTATCAAAGGACATTTCCAGAACGAACAATAGTTGAGCACATCCACACCAAACAAACCAAAAAATCAAGCATATATATATATATATAATTTAATTGTAAAACCGTTCTCTCTTTTGTCGTTAGAATTTGCCAAAGCATCTTAGGCTTAACTAGCTACTAAAGCATCCAAGAAACTTCCTTGGTGTATACCCAGTTGCTCGGTATTTCGCTGCCGTTTCCTCAACCTCTAGACACTCTTCACCTTTTTTTGCTTCAATCACTGCTTTCTTCTCTTCAGCTACCCTGTGGAATTCGGCTGCTTTGTTCTTCATTTTCTCAGCGTATTCAGCCTTCTTCCTTTGAAGTTTTTCCTATCATATCACAAATTAAACGAGCCACCTTTGAATCAATAGTGAATCTATTAAACAAGTTCTTTGAACTATATATACAGTTTATTAAGTGAAAAGAAAGATCAGTGTGCTAAACTAAGCAAGAAATACTTTGTTTCCTTAAGTTTATTTATTACCTCAAACTTCTTTATTTTTGCCTCCACGTATGCTTTCTTGGTCGTCTCCCATGATGCAACGGCAGAGAGTTTTTTGTGAGCCCTATTCGAAAATTCGTTGTGTATAACTTGGTCAGAATCTAGCTGTGAAGATCGTCACTAAGTAGGAACTTAAAGCTTTATGCAACCAAGTTGTACAATATTTAACTTGAAGAACTGATTCAAATGCTCTATAAACATTTGAAAATGGAAACTACAACCAAAACTATCAAGTATCACGGACACGATCCATATATTTAATGAGCATATTTGTATTTCCATATCTGGAGCATGTGCCGACAATGAACTTAACTTCTATGGCAATTGTAATAAGTTTCTTGGCTTGGTAATTCTGTATCTTAACAGTATATGAAAATTTCTTCTAATGTACATTTGATAGCCTAAAATGCTTGGATGCCTAGACTCAATCCCAGGGACTTTTTATGTTGGATAACCAAAGAGCTCGTCAATTCTTGACTTTTGAATCTACTTTCCATATATATACTTGTAAAATTCAAATTCAACAGAACTCTAGACCCGAGCTAGCAAATTAAGTTGGATATATTGTAATCTTGTTAAACTGAGTTGGATAAATTGATTTAACCTGAATTCATTTCAAGCAAGCTTTTATGCTTGATTTGATATCCTGGGAGTGGGGAGGCCTGCTTTATGCCAATACTAAAAGATGGATATTAGAGATGGTCTCTTACTTGTTCTCCACTTTGGCTTTCTCATTTTCTTCCCATGCTTTAATGAGAGCATATCTTTTCTCCGATTCAACCCTTGCAAGCAGAGTGTCTGAAGATTGATCCAAGTCATTATTTTCCGTCAATAAGAAAAGTATCAAATTTGAGAGTAGTAACTTCAAATCGTATCCTGCACGTACCTCTGTTATTTGATCCCCTTGAAACTTTTGCAGCAGCAGGTGGATCTGCAGCCTCTGACGCATTGAAGATTCAATCATGTAACTAAGGATCTTATGGTAACATGCACAATAAAACACAATTAAGTGGTCCTACAAAAATGCAAAAGGGCAAAAAATATATATTTTCGTAAAATATTAAATTATTATACTTTCCTTTTCCCCTCTTTCTGTGTTAATTTCTCAGGATAAGGATAAAGAGAGAGCATACTTTCAGAAGCTGGGACCAAGCCCTTCTCATTAGCAGCATCATTTAAGGAGGCTTCTTTCTCTTCTTTAACAGGTCCATCCTCTTCGGCCCGTGTAGGCAGCTGAGAGGCTGCCTCGGATTCAGCTTTCTTGGGCTCCTCCCCCATAAAGAACCCTTCGAATTTTACCACAGAGACCCGAAAAAAACAATATACAACAATAATTATAAGCAAATACTAAAGAAAAATCCTATAAAGATTACCATCTAACAGAGAAAGAAAGAAACTGTCGTGAATTTTGCAGAAGAGTCGAGAATCCTGGATTGTGGTAGGTACAAATGGAAGTTGGGCATGGACAAGAAAGCAAATATAAAGATAAACAATTTGTGGGGTCGTTTGGAGTGGACTTTCTCCGGAAGAGAGAAGCTATAAATGCTTTTGTCCTGTTTAATTTTTTGTACTGTATATGCATGGATTCTTGAATCCAAAAGTTCATCCAATCTAAATTGAGCTAGTGCCAAATCATAACAAGGTAGTCCATGTGTGACATTCAAGATATAAACTAGTTATATGGGAGTAGAAAAATTTTAAAATCACAAAGAAAGCGATTTACTTGCTTTTTCAGTAGTTTCAACTTTCAAGCATTTCATATTTTGAATCATTAGGAGAGATGAGTCTTAGAAATAATGGATTGAAAGGGTTTAGCTTTGAAATAACACAATTATGTTCATACCTGAAATGAAAAGGGTTTTAACAGATCAGAGGAAGATATATATTGCTTGGCGGCGGCAGCACAATTTTTTGAACGAAAAGAAATATATTTAAGAACTCCAAAAGCAAATGAAGAGGAAAGCTTGAAAATCGTGTTATTTTTAGGACATACCCTAAAATTAATCACTATCCATCATCATGGAACGGAGAATTGAAGGAAATTCCCACAATTCTTGGACGGTTAAGGTACAGCGTAAGAGAACCAAAATAATAATAATAATAATAAGACTAGCTAAAAAAGGTTGGATATATAGCCGACGACTTGGGCAACAACCTTTACATTTTATTTTATTTTTATTTATTTTTTTATTTTTTTATGATGCGATAACGACCATCGCTTTAACGCTTATGTTTCCTAAGAATTTGTGCATTTGCCTAATGTATATAGTTTGTATATATATATATAGAATGGGTATTGAAGCATTGCCAAGTCATTTCGGGGATGAATCCTTCTCAAATAGGAAGTTTTAGTTTTAGCAAGGAAGTTACAAATCCCAATCTTTTCTTTTTAAGAAACAAGGTGCACATTCAATTTGATCTTTCAAATCAAATAAATAATTATATATACTACAGTTTAATAGGATAGCCTATAAATTCATAAATATTTCACTTAATTCTATCCACATAACTTAAAAGCTTTTCAATATTACCTGTATAGTTTTAAAATTGTTTCAATTTTATTCTTTACTACTAAATAAAGATCGACTAACGCTTTTCATATTTCTATTTGATTCCTTTTCTTTCATTTTTTTCCTCTCAAATATCCATATATATTATAATTGTCGCATGGCGACATTGGTGGTGAAGGCGACGAATTTAAGCAAAAATAGAAAAATAGGCATAAATGATTGGAGTCGTTACCTAGTATTATGATTACTAGGAAATCCTATGACTCGGTATGTTTAGAGTTCGGATAAAGGTTTTATTATGTGCGGGGAAATTTAAAATCACCCTACCCCGTCTTGCCTAAGGCAAGCCGCATTGTATAATTCGATTTCGATTTTTTAATTATGAAAGAATATGCTTATTTTTAAAAATAATTGTCCCCAAGTCAAGTGATTCGGGACTTGGCCGATCGTAGACTTTATCCTCACTTTGTAATGGATGACTAAAAATGATGAATACAAGGATAGGAAAACGAGATAAAACTGGCGAGTCGATAAAATTGACAAATAGGCAAAAATAGACAGATTTGGTAGAATGGGTAAACATGCAAAAAATGATAAAATTGGCAAAATCGATAGAAATCAATGATTGCGCAAAAATAGGACAAAATTGGCAATTAGGCACAAATCGACAATTTATGCAAACATAGGCAAAAATTAGCAATTTAGGCAAAAATAGATAAAAATTGACAATTTAGGTAATCATAGGCAAAAACCGACAATTTAGGAAAAAATAAGTAAAAATCAGCAATTTAGGTAATCATAGGCAGGAATCGACAATTTAGGTAAAAATAAGTAAAAATCGACAATTTAGGCAATCATAGGCAAAAATAGACAAAATGGCCAAAATCGACGAATCAACAAAATTAGCAAAATGTCGACAAATAGGAAAAAATCGACGAATAGGCTAAAAATTAACTAAAGTTAGTGATTGGGCCAAGACTCGGATCGACGCATTTCAAAGATACATGTTTCAAACAACAATAGACGTTACATCGACAAAAAAATCGCCCTAGTTGTTATAAGTGCATGGATGATTAAAACACACACATCGCAACATTGCTACTAAATTATACATGAACAACAAATCAAATTAATTACAACGCACAACCACTCAATCAATTACATACACACATTAACAAGAATTAGATTTAATACATATAAAATAAAATAAAATAAAAAGAAAGTTAAAAAATGAATTATTATAAATAAGAGACAGATTATTTGTCAAATCGGGATCTACTACAATGTCGGAATTCACTATCGGCAAGACCTCACCATCCATCTTAATCAAGAGAGAGCTCCTCCACGGAATGCTCTTTGCACCACATACAAAACCTCATAATTAGGTGCCCATTTACTTCTTTCTCGCCCCTAAAATCAAGAGTACTCTTTTCAAAACTAGGTCCCTTTCGTAAAAGGTTCTTGTGTAGACTTTCCTATCATATGCCTAGGCCATTCTTTTCGGTACAACTACGCATAACGTATAGCTATTAGCCTCTTCTTACTAATCAATTCAAATTGTTCATATCTAATTTATGCTCATTCGACTCATTTAGCTCCGCTTCTTTTAATACCCTCGGAGATGGTATCTCCACTTCAATGGGCATCATTGCCTCAATTCCATATACCAATGGGTATAGAGTTGCCCCATTCGATGTCCTCACTCGCCATCCTATAAGCATGTATTGCAAATGGTAACATTTTATGTCGATCTTTATATGTGACTATCATTTTCCGTATGATCTTTTTTATATTCTTATTTGTGACTTTCATAGCCCTATTCATCTTGGGTCTATATGGCGACGAATTACGATGCTTGATTTTTCATTGTTCGTATAATTCCGTGATCATCTTGCCATCGAAATTTTATACATTATCTATGATCAAGGTCTTCGAGGGTCCATATCAATAGATGATGTCCTTCGGTATGAATCAACAAACAACTCTTTAGGTAAAATGTGTAAAGGATGTCGCTTCAACCCATTTGGTGAAGTAATCAATTGCTACCGGGATGAATCGATGACCATTCTAGCTTTCGAGTTTATTAGCCCAATCATATCCATTCCTCACATTACGAACGACGAGGGGACACCATGCTATGTAGGGGTACAGGAAGAGCATTTATTTGGTTTGTATAAATTTGATATTTATGGCATTTTTGCATATAGTCTATGTAGTCCTTTTTCATAGTAGTCCAAAAATAGCCACACCTATGAATTTGACGAGCCATCATGTATTCGTTGGCATTGGTTGGACAAATCCCCTCATGAACCTCTTCAATCGCCTTCTTAGCTTCGATGGAGTCTAAACATCGCAACAAAATTTCATCAAAACTTCTTTTGTATAAGACCTTACCGTCTAAATAAAAATCTATTGCCAACCTTCGAAGTTGTCTTCCTATCATTTTTTAAAGCACACGATAGATATTCTCGACACTTTATGAACTACTTAATGTCTTCATACCATGGCTTTTCATCGAGTTCATCCTCGATCGGACAAGTATGAATGTGTTGAGGCATTTCTAACCTCAATACATACGAGATAGATCTTTATACCATATGTTATCTTTGTCATTACGACTAACATGGCTAAGGCATCGGTGAAGTGATTTTTGTCTTGACCCAAATAGATGAACTCTATCTCATTAAAATGATCAGCTAGCTTTGTTAAGTACTCTTGATATAACTTCGACTTTTCATCTTTTATCTGTCATTCTCCATTAATTCGACATATTATTAGTAGTGAATCACTATACACGACTAACTTTTAGATCCCTATCTTTAAGGATACTTTTAATCCGTGCGCACATGCCTCATATTCCGTTATGTTTTTTGTGCATTCAAACTATAATTTGATAGCCATTGGGAACCGTTTTTCATCCGGTGAGATAAGACCGACCCGATATTGTTTTCATTAACATTTATTACTCCATCAAAATACATGGTCCATTTGCCGGTTTTGGACTCGCATTCTTCAATTATGACCATAATTGACTCATCGAGAAAATCAAATTTCAAAGGTTCATAGTCATCGATTGCACCGTCTCGTTAGTTGATTGGCTATAACACTTTTCTTTACCACTTTTCTCATCATACATATAATATCATACTCGGATAGCATGACTTACCATCGTGCGATATGACCGGATAAGTACGACTTTTCAAAAATGTACTTGAGTGGGTCCATGTTTGAAATCAACCACATGGTATAACCAAACATGTATTATCTAAGCCTTCTTGAATACCGGACCAAGCCGTAACATATCTTCTCAAGGATACTATATTGGGAATCACGGTCGGTGAACTTTTTTCTCAAGTAGTAGATAGCTTGCTCCTTCTTTCCCGATTCATCACACCGACTCGAAACATCACCTACAGACTAATTCGTCACCGTCAAATATAGAATCGGAGGCTTCTCGAGAACTAGTGATACCAACAACGATGGATTTTATAGATATCGCTTGATTTTATCAAAGGCTAATCGGCAATCTTGATCCCATATACCAGGATCCTTTTTTTGTAATAACCAAAAGATCGATTCATAAGTCATGGACAACTAAGATATAAATCGAGCTATGTAGTTCAAGCGGTCAAAAAAATTTCTAATCTCTTTTTAAGATGAAGGTGTTGGCATATTTTGAATTGCCTTAACTTTATCCGGATCAACTTCAATTCTTCCGTTGCTTACCACAAACCCTAGTAGTTTTCTTGATTTCATACCAAATTTGCA